TGCTGAACCCCAGCCTTTCAGAAGATCCAGTTTGGGGTTCTCTTTGGAGTGTAGACTGTTTTCTGTTACAGCATGTTTCTTAGAAGACCCAGCTTTAGGAGCCGTGCACTGCTACTGACAGAGCACGTGAGAACTGGCTTGTTCTGGGCAATTGAGAACAGTGAGAAAAAGAACTATGCAAAGGAATTGAGTCTTGGGGACCAGCAGGTGGCGTGGTGGTTAAGGTGCTGGACACTCCCACATGGCTGTCCACAGTTCATGTCCTGGACCTGGTAGCTTGCTTTCTCACTTGCCCTCTCTCTCTCTCTTTCTCTCTGGTCAAATTAAAATAAGTGAATGAATAAATAAAAAGAAATAGAATCTTCAGAGTTGTAGGGTTGGGTCAGCAGGTGGCATGGAGGTTAAGGCACTAGATCCCACATGGCCAGCTTCGTGGGTAGAGTTCCGGACCCAGCAGTGTGAGAATCATGCTGGGCCTGTGGGCATTCCCAAAATCCCAAAGGGAAAATGGAGAAGAAGGGACTGTAGTGTGACCATCGCCCCCAGGGGGTGGTTTCTCTCTCTCTCTCTCTCTCTCTCTCTGGCGAGCACATGTGCTCTATAGCAAAAACCTCTCAAAAAAAAGAAAAGAAAAGAAAACTATTTAAGTACCGAATAAGTTCTTCCAGGGTCTGACATCTAAAGGAAGCCTCTCGGGACCAGCTCCAGCAAATGGCATAAGGGTTATGTCACTGGACTCCATCATAGCTGACTACGTCTGAGTCCCAGACCTGGCAGCTTGAAACTCACACCGGGCTCGTGTGCGTGCATGCCCCAAATCCTGAGAGGATGACAGAGAAGGGACTGTGGCATGGCAGTTCCCCCCAGGGGGTGATTTCTTGCTTTCTGTCTCTGTCTCTCTGTCTTTCCAGCAAGTGCACATATTGCACAGCAAAACTCTTCTCTTTAAAAAAAAAAAAAAAAAAGGCCTCTTGTCCTGACCCTTAGAGCCAGGCATATTTAACCATTCATGCATTCATAATCTAACCCTGGAAGAAAAGAGAGCTCAGAAATATGAAATTATTTGTTCAAGTGGTGGAGCACTCCTGTAATCCTAGTTATTCACAAGGCTGAGCACTCCTGTAATCCCAGCTATTCACAAGGCACAAGAGTTCAAGGCCAGCCTAGACCGAATTCCTTTTTTTTTTTTTAATTGCCAGAGGGCATGTGCACTTGCCAGAGAGAGAGAGAGCGCTGCCCAGCGGGGCGTGGCCGTGCCACAATCTTTTCCTCCATTTCTCCATCCTTCTGGGATTTGGAGCATGCATGCACGTGCACTCAGCGTGTTTTTCAAGTCACCAGAGCCGAGATTCAAACTAGGGTTTGCTAAGTGGGATCCAGCTCTCTTAACCCCAAGGCTATGAGGCCACCCCGACATCCTGTTTTTCAGGGGGCATAAAAGCTTTGTTCGATGACTTCTGTGTTCTGGCATGATGTGATACTGGAGTGTAAGGATGCAAATATCAGCAAGGGAGTCTCCAGACGCTGCTGTAGGCTCCCATTTCCTGACATGGAGATCTTTAACTTCTCTAAAATATTGGGTATTTGTCAGTAACCACTTCTAACAACTAGAAAATTGGGACTTATAAAATTGATGTTATAAAGTGAATTGATTCTTCAGAAACCAGTCCTAGTGCAGTTCTCCTGTTGATAACTTTGCTTTTGGATAGTGTATAAACAGGCTACGCTGCCGTTTTCCTCACCTACATGGGTGTTAACACTGAATTTTTTTTTTTTTTGAGAGGTTTTTGCTATAGGGCACGTGCGCTCACTGGAAAAACAGAGACAGAGAGACAGAAAACAAGAAATCATCCCCCTGGGGGGATGGCCATGTCGCAATCCCTTCTCCTCCATTCTCTCAGAATCTTGCACACGCACACACATGCACCCGGTGTGAGTTTAAGCCACCAGGTCCTGGACTCGAACGGTGCGATCAACTGCATGGGAGTTTAGCGACATAGCCATTATGCTATCTGCTGGTCCCTTAACACTGAATTTTAAAGAGACTTGAAAATCAAACATTTGGGACCAGTACTTTGGCTATGTCGCTGGACACCCACTCATGTAGTCGACCGTGGTTCGAGTCCCAGACCTGGTGGCTTAAACTCACGCCGGGTGTGTGCGTGTGCGTGTGTGCCCAAGATCCTGAGAGGAGACTGGAGGAGAAGGGATTGTGGCGTGGCCATCTCCCGTCCCCTCCCCCCCCCAGGATGATTTCTCGCTTTCTGTCTCTCTGTCTT